AAATTGAGTCTTGAGAATTGGATATGTGAACTATTGTTTGTTTTGAACTCATGATTTTGATTGATATTGATTATTCAGGTTCAGTAATCAGGCTTAAAGGATTTGTTTGTGAATCTGACTAATTAGTTCTTGAATCAATTCAAGGACACAGTGATCTGGTCACAGTAATTCTTAAATTGACAGCTTAACAACTTGATATCTTTGAAAAAATATAGTGCACAAGTTGTATGGCCTGTTTTGTTTTTGTTTTTTTGTATGGACTGATGTTTTTTGGTCATTTTTGGAGCTTGACAGAGCTTAACATTGTCACTATGAACTGTCGTTGTCTGACCAAAAAGCACCATAAAAATGGTCCATTGCCCATCTATTCCAAGACTTCTGAAGTCAAACGATAGTGTGATTAACAGACGAAAATTTGAGCTGTCGACTCAAGAACAATAACCAAATCATTGACTCAGTGTGTTTGATTCATTCACATGAGCCAGTTCTTTTCAATACAAACGAATCTGAGCGATTCATTCATGCGTGAAAATTCTCCAAAACTACTGCTTTTGCGTTCCACAGAAGAAAGTTATACAGGTTTGGAATGACATGAAGGTGAGTAAGTCATTCATTTTGAGGTGAACTCTCCCTTTAACATGACTTTCACATGCTCAGAAATTCACATTGCATACTTGACTTGGCACCACGATACATGGTTGTCCTTCACTGCTCTTCACCCGTCTGTATGGCAATGGTATTTGGAGAGCTCCAAGCGTTTGATAGCCCTCAGCTCGCTTGAGTGGTGTCATGCAACTTTCTGCAGGTGAAAGAAAGGCATTTTATTTGCCTGGAAAGGCAGGGAGCCACTGTGTTTTTGTAAAAACATTCTTGTGGTGGAATTAGTCAGGTGATCAACATGACAGATTCACCTCCTCAGCTTAATGAGCCTCACCGCCAACTGTTTACAGCAGTAGGAGTGAAAAATGAACTTGGTGATTCGTGAAGCACAGTACCATTCTCAAATGCCGGCACGCAGGATTGATGACTCTGCTTTCTGTGTGATGACATAGTCAAGAGCTTTTGTTTGAAAACATGTGTGGACGGGGAATATCCGGTGTGTTTGTACAGTGTGAGTGTGTGAACGTGCACCGTAGCCAGTACAGGAGCAGGTTCAGAGGGCAGAGGGTTGGAAGGGGCCCTTGCCATAACAAAAGGCCCTGGCTGAATGCGTGGGAGTTTCAAAGCCTAGTTGCAGCCCTGCGCTTTTGTCCTTTCTGACTAATAAAGCCCGTAAGAAAGAATAAAGACACTTCTGTCCTGTGACCATGTTGTTAAGCTCCAAAATGGCGCAAAAAACAAGGAAAAGCATTATAAACGTGGTCCACATAACTTATTTGTTAACTCTTCATACAATAAGTCATACAATATAGATGTGTGTAACAAACAGACCAAAATTTAAGTCACAGTTCACTGATAAATGTACCCACCAGTGAGCTGTCAACTCGAGAATCACTACAACTGAATCAAGTTGAACTAAAGAACCAAATCAGTATATGAATCATTCCCTGATGTTTGATCACTCTGATCCAAATGCGAATTATTCCTGTTTTTTTTTTTTTATGAAACAGATTGGTCCTATTTGCATATCAGACTGATTCATATAAACGAATATTTGCGATTGATTCAGTGAGTTGAACTGTAGAACTAGATTAGTAAATGAATCATTCACTGATTTTGATCATCCTGATCTGAATTCTGATCATTTTGGTTCTTTTCAGTAAACATATTCGTCCTGTATGCAAATCAGACTAATTTATCAATAATTCTTAGTGATTGATTTGTTGAGAACCAGATCGGAGAGAGGAGAGAGAGAGAGAGACAGACAGACAGACAGCATCGCATCGGAGTCAGCTGTCTTAACCGTGGCTTGTGTAAGGCAAACACATACCAGCTTCATCACTGTGTCTGTCAAGCGACTCTGTTTCCCTTTCAGGCTCTGTCTTTACATTTATTTTGAAAGATGAAGCATCATATGAATATTAAAAAAGCATCATATGACCCCTTTAATAATGAATTGCAATAGCATAATGATGTTATAGGGTTATTATAGTTAACGAAAACCATGAAAAAATAAAGCTTGAAATAAAATAAATGTTAACTGAATTAAAATAATATATGTGACCCTGGACCACAAAACCAGTCATAAGGGTCATTTTTCGAAATTGAGATTTATACATCATCTGAAAGCTGAATAAATAAGCTTTCCATTGATGTATGGCTTTTTAGGAGATCTGGAATATTGCAAAAAAATCTAAATATTGAGAAAATCACCTTTAAAATGGTCCAAATGAAGTCCTGAGCAATGCGTATTACTAATCAAAAATTACGTTTTGACATATTTACAGTAGAAAATTTACAAAATATCTTAATGGAACATGATCTTTACTTAATATCCTAATGATTTTTGGCATAAAAGAAAAATCTATAATTTTGACCCATACAATGTATTTTTGGCTATTGCTACAAATATACCCCAGCGACTTAAAACTGCTTTTGTGCTCCACGGTCACATTTATAATTTTTTAATTATTTCAGCTAGTTGGCAAGGCAGCATTTCTCATTTTAATTTAGTATAAGTAAAACTAATACCATGAAAATGAAAAAATAAAATAAATATCAGCTAAAATACAATATACAAATTAAAAATTCTTCTTTCGACATGTTGCCAACGCAACATTTATCATTTTAAATTAGTTTGACTAAAAATAAAAATTAATAAAAACAATATAGACATGTTAAAAACTACTATAAATGGCAAAAAGAAAATTACTAAAACTTTAAATTTCAAAATGTATATTTTATTCCATTTATGAAAATGGAATTTCAAATGAAATACTAAAATAACACAGGTTAGTAATTTGTATAAATCACAGAAACATTTTGAATAGAAAATAACCAAAAAATTACTCATGGTTCAGCGAGGGAGTCAGTATGACTCACTGAGACTGATTCAAACCTCTTTTCATGGATCTTCCCGATTCACTCTTTTAAAAGAACCATTTCATAAGAGTCATTTTTTCATGAATGGGTTATCAAAGCTGAGTGGTGTTACAGTGGGCACTTCTGTTACTCTTGGCTTTCCCGCCATATGAAGCCTTTTCCACAGAAACCCTGTTATTTCCCACTATAAAAGTCACTCACTCCTAACACTCAGGCCAGTACGTGACGCACTCATTCACATTCACAGAGGAGCGGTTCCTTGACTGACAGCGTTTCTCTTGGTTGTGGCGAACACGGGCAGCTTGTGCCAGTCCACAGGGCTGCAGCCACAGTAGCGGGAGCTTGTTTTTCCAGTTCCCCCCTTTTCCAAACCCAGACAAATAGTGAAGATGAGCCACAAAACCAGGCTATATATTTCAGTTTATTATTCCAGCACCGCATTCCTCGTTCCTAACCAGTGTAAAGTGAACCTCTATTAAAGTGACTTTTATAAGACCAAGTGTGCCTGGACGTACTGTTTCCGTTGATATACTAATGGCACTTTTTTTCTCCATTTGAAAAACGACCTCAAATGACCTCAAGGAAACAGAGGGAGAGTTTGTAGCTTGTTGCATTTGTTAATATTTTATTTTAGATGGGCTGGGAAAATACAAGAGGCCGGAGCTGCAACAGAACATACTGTACGTTGGAATGTTTGTTGAATGTGCGCCACATTAATTTCCAGTTAGAAGTCTTTGTTTATCTTAATGGGAGTGATGTTTAGTTTTTACTTTTGTACAGACTAAAATTGTGTATGAAGTCTGATTGGTCAGATATACCTTAAAGGAATAGTTCACCCAAAAATGAAAATTCTGTCATCATTTACTCACCCTCACGTTGTTTCAAAGCTATGTGAGTTACTTTCTTCTGTGGAACATAAAAGACACATGTTAATAACCAATAAGTTTCAGTTCCTATTGACTTCCATTGCATTTTTTGACCATGCATAGTCAATGGGAACCAAAATTGTATCTGCTTTCATGTTTTATACCACAGTGAAATGAAAAGAATACAGGTTCACAACAACATGAAATTAAAAAAAAAAATTCATACATCCATACTGTATGTCATCTTTTGAAATTCAAAATTTTTGGTTGTAACCTTATAAAACATTTATAAATTCACTGTTTATTTCATTTTGTGGCGTTTGTGTTGCTGGTACATTCTGATGATCAATTTTCAGATATTTTATTATCAATCACAGTTACTTATACCATTAAATTACATTTTATTTAATCATTACTCTACACATAATTGCTGTTAAACTCATATATATTATATGAAACCGTGAACAGTATATTATATGAGTCAGTAAGATATGTTTTTAATAGTTTTTATTCAGCAAGGATGCCTTAACCTCATCAGAAGTGTCAGTAAAGACATTTTTAATGTTACAAAAAGAGCTCTTCCTGTCTAATATATGCTGATAATTAGGCCTAGATGAAATCTGACTTTTTTAATCGCATTGTCTTAGCTGATGTTTTGAGGAAAATCTGTGGAATGGATTTAATTATGGTAAATGAGTACTACTACACGCATACTGGTAGCTGGAAGCATTAATCAGATCCACCTAAATATTTGATAGAGAAAGCCAGAAGGGCCGGAGGATGTTTAAACTCTGTGAATGGCAGGCGTTTGAGTTCTGCATAAATCTGCTGAGCTTTCGTTCAGTGTGGGCCTGCCGGTATTCAAAGTCTACGCGGGGCTGGAGAGCTCTTGAAGAGAGCTGAGTGAAGTATGTCAGGCTGAATGTAGCACTCTTGTGAAAAGAGAAAATCATGCAGCACAAAATGCCTCCAAGCCATAAAAGACAGGATGAGTTTAAAAGCTCTACCAGGTCCTAGTCACATTTGTTTTGTTTTGTTTTTCTTGGAGTGCTGAACTGCAGGGAGAGTAATATTAAGTGCTCTGGGCGCTCACTGCCACTAAGTGCTGTTTATTATCAGAAACCCTTTAGGAGATCTCGCTATAACTTATGTATGTGTTTATGTGTGTGTTTTATTTCACAGTGTCCTCCTTGTCGCAGTCTAACCCGAGTGTTGGTGGAATCGTACCGGAAAGTGAAAGAATCAGGGCACAAATTTGAGATTGTGTTTGTCAGTGCTGATCGGTAAGAAACACAGATCACAATTTCACAATTTATAATATAATATAATATCATAACATTTCTTTGTTTTCATATGTTGAAAATCCTAAAAAAACAAAAACAAAATTCTAGTTATTTTACAAGTTTAAGTTGAATTTTTTACATTTTGTAAATAGTCCGTGTGGACTCAGATTTAAAAAAGAAACATTTTTATATACACTTTCACTAGAGATGCACTAATTATTAATATTCTGATTGATAATTATTTTGACCTAATGATAACTGATAAATAGGCAAAATGTAAAGTTAAACTTCTGTATTTTGTCTAAATAAATAAAAAAAAATAAAACACTAAAAGCAATGATTTAAATGCTACAAGTGAATTTTGACCACAACATTATAACGTTCAGCATGAAAAATTTATATGAATTTAGAGATTTGCTTAGGATTACTTTTACCAATGTGTGTGTTATTCAATTATTTATTAGGTGTTTTTAAAGATTAGCCTTTAAGTGAGCTTTAGATAATGGAAAAGGCAATCTAAATGTAAAATAGGGTATATGAGCACAATTAAAAATCCAGCATCGGTCCATATACAGATATATACAATATCAACTGATAGCAATAAATAAATAAATCTCTAATATTGGCCATTAACTCGCACCAATATATTGTGCATTCTTAACTTCCACACATAATATCAGCCATATTTGCTGCTTATTTCCAATAATTATTTGATTATTTTAAAGTTGGAGGACACTTTAAGCATGCAATGAAGATTGAAACACCTTGTGTCTTGTGTTGTAGGTCAGAGGAGTCATTTACGCAGTATTTTAGTGAGATGCCATGGTTGGCGGTGCCATACACAGACGAGGCCAGACGGTCACGACTCAACAGACTCTATGGAATCCAAGGTATGTCTGTGGACTTTAACTCTGGCTCAGGTGGAAGTGCGTTTGTTTGATGTAACAGCGTGTGGTTGGCTGTAGCTGGATACAGCTGACCCTGCCAGGAACTGCAAACTGAGCTGTAGGACCTCAGGAATGTGGGCGGCTAATCAAGTTTACTTTACTATTACTGTTCCCCACCGCTCCCTCTCTCTGGATGTCGCTCGCGCTCAGTATAACTAACAATTCTGAAAACATGGTTTTTAAAGGGTTAGTTCAACCAAGAGCCAAGATTCTTTAATCATTTACTCACTCTTAATGTTGTTCCAAACCTGTACGACTTATTGACTTACTGTATTTCTTCTGCAGAGCACAAAAGAAGCATTCTGAAAAGTATTTGATCTGTTTCTATTCATATAATGGAAGTCAATGGGGTCCAAAACTACACTGGACCAACATTGACGTTCACTGTATGGACACTGAGACATTGTTCATAATATCTTCCTCCTTTGTATATCACAGGAGGAAGAATGTAAATCATGCAAGTTTTGAATGACGTGAGGGTGAATAAATAATGACAGAATTTAAATCTTTAATATAAATCTTTCTGCTCTAATTAGCTGCAACCGCAACAAATGTCACAGAGTGAGTAAAATGGTGATAAATTCTGACTGTTTTAGCCCCAAACAACTCTGGTCCAGCTATCATAGGACCCCTTTAGCAGTCAGAAAAGTCTCTTTCGTTTTGCTATCGTCTCTTCTTCATTGGGAGTTGATGCATTGAGAGGGAAAGCACTGGCTTCGGGCCTATCCGGTCTGGAATGTGTGGAATTCATCTTGGATGATTTGATACTGACTCCCCCTCCCTCTTCCTCCAGCCTGAAGTCGCTGTGTGAGTCTGATAAGGCCACTAATACTGCAGTCTGATTTCTATCTCAAAGAGGGTTTGAGAGAGGACGACTGTACAGAGAGATCAGTGTGACCACAGGCCGCCTGACTGTGTCTTTGTGTGCTGGTGTTGTGCTTAGGGTGTGGACAGGTCCCTAACCAGCTATGAGGCCACCGAAGTCCGGACCTTTTCATGTTCAAAAATAAAATTTGTTCTTTGAATGACTAATTTGCTGCTAAACTCCTCATATGAATGCCTGCATGACATGTATAATTCCGTTTAGACAGTTTGCAAGAATGTTTAGCATCCCTGGTATGATAATGATCGCTGCGAGACGCTGGCGGAGTGAACGAGTCTTGAGACCAGGGTTGCCAGGTTTTCACAAGAAAACCCGCCCAATCGCTACTCGAAACTAGTCCAAAACTAGCCCAATGGCGGTTTGAGGGGGGGTTCCCCTGCTAAAATTCGCATTCCAGGGGATAAATATCAAGTTATTGGAGTCGCTTCAACCCGTGGCAACAGTGTTAAAAGCGGGGGAAAAACCACGGAATTGGCAACACTGCTTGAGAGAGTTGTGAGTGAGGGCGCGGATGCAGCCTTGTGTTGCCAGATCCAGCTATTATAAGCGTTTTGGACTTGTCTTTTCCACTTAATTTAACACTTTATAAAGTTAATAAAGTAGGAAGTTGCAGTTTAGAGTCAGCGATATCTTTATCTTATCATATTTGCAAAAGATTGGAAATAATATCGGTTTATTTTATTTATTTTTTGTTTTTTGTTTGTTGTAGTATCAATATCTGGCAACAATGCCGGCAACAACAGCACTTAAACTGAAAGCAATCAAAAAAGCCCATGGACAGGTTTTTGCTGACAGGATACGGCATTCGGTGAGGGAAACGCAAAAATGATCATGATATTATCTGTCAAAAACAGTAGAATTGAACACTAGTACACACAGATCTATAGAACAAGTAGGTTACAGAATGAAATGAAATACACACACTAGCCATGAAGTCTGTCATTCAGTATAGTTAAAATTTCACAAATCATGCTATAAACTTTCATAAGAGCACTAGACAAAGTTATTGTAGTTATGTATTGTTGCAATAAACAACTGATAAAATTATCCACCCTTAAATATAGTAAAGTATTAACAAATTTTGATGCAATAAATAGGGTATGATTTAAAAATAATCAACCCTCCAAAACAGAGAAAACATCTTTCACAAACATCTACCCTTTAAAGTGTTTATGGTGTATATAATGAGTTGTATTTGTAGGGGTTATTATAACACAATTATTTAACACCAACCCCCATCATTATCCCCCCCCAAAAAAAATAGACAAAAATTTTTTTTCAAGCATTAAACCATATCACTAACATTTTACAATAGGTTTAACACAATTGTAAATTAGTGTAAATTTTGGAATAAGTCTGACACTTAACATTTAAAAGTAGTACATGTTAACAATATTCATTATGAACTAACCTGAACGATAGACCACTACTCTTTTGAAAGAATATTAATGTAAATAAACGAATGTTTTTGAAGTCTCTTGCGGTCACCAAGGCTTAATTGATTTAATAAAAAGAGACAGTAAAAACAGTAATAGTGTGAAATATTATTACATGTTAAAATAGCTGTTTTCTATTTGAATATATGTTAAAATGTAATTTATTCCTGTGATGCATAGCTGAATTTTCAGCATCATTACTCCAGTCTTCAGTGTCACATGATCCTTCAGAAATCATTCCAATCTGCTGATTTGCTGCTCAAGAAACATTTCTTATCAATGTTGAAAACAGTTCTGCTTAATATCATAATGGAAAACATGCTACAATGTTTTAGGATTCTTTGATGAATAGAACGTTTTTAACAGCATTTATTTGAAATCTACATTTTTTTAAACTTTATAAATGCACGTACTTTCACTTTTGATCAATTCAGTGCATCTTTGCTGAATAAAATAATCAAGTTCTTTAGACATTTTGAACGGCAATGTATATCTATTAATAAATTTGGTTGATTTGATGAACATTGTAGGCTTGAATCCTATAATTAAACTAAATTACAGCCAATTAGAACCTATTTGATGTTTAATATGTTTATTGTGTGATTTATAAAATTTTAATGTAATGTTTTGTGGCATCATGTCTTGGCATTAAATAAGTATAAAGAATATTGTTATACACAGTTTTTGTTGTTGTTTAACCTTTCCCAGGTATCCCCACACTGATTTTACTGGACGCAGACGGTCACATGATCACGCGACAGGGGCGGGTGGAGATTCTCAATGACCCCGACTGTCGGCTCTTCCCGTGGCACCCGCGACCCGTTCTGGAGCTCAACGAATCCAACGCCGTGCAGCTACATGAAGGGCCCTGCCTGGTTCTGTTCGTAGGTGAGATGATGCTTTGAGATCATTGCAGAGGAGCACTCAAAGCCTATTGACGCTTCACTTCCCTTTTCTTACTACAATGCTCATTCATCATCTTTCTGCCCTCGTCATTCCTCTTCCTCTGTTATCTCATTGTTTTTTTACCTCTCATTTAGATGCTGAGGAAGAGGGAGAGCTGGAGCCGGCCAAGGAGCTCATCCAGCCAATCGCAGAGAAGATCATGGCCAAATACAAGGCAAAGGAGGAAGAGACGCCACTGCTCTTTTTTGTTGCTGGAGAGGTATGTTTGTCCATTTATGTGTGTAATCGAATAATTAGGTGAAGTTCTTCCAAAAATGAAAGTTTGTCATTTATTTACTTACATCATTTACTTCAAAATAAACAATGGTTCAGATCTTTCATTGAATCAGTTTCGGTCTGAATGAATCAAACTGATTATTTTTGCTTTGCTTAACTTTGTTTTGCATTGTTTTGTGTCTTAATTATATATCTTACAGGTTTTAACATTGTCAACCCAAGGCACTCGCAGCTGCTGCCAGCAATTTATTGTAAAAAAAAATAAAATAATAATAATGATATTAATAATAATAATAATTATGTATGTTGGTCACATTATTATTTTAAAATATATTTCATTATAATTTTAAATTATTTTACATTATCGTATTGCATATCGAATTACGCATAACACATTATCGCACAACTCGGTTTTTTTCAGTATCATGCGGCCATATTTAGGTCTTTCGGTCAAATAAATCTAACATATCACTTCAGAAGACTTATAGTGCACAAGTTGTATAGACTACTTTTATCAGAATCAGAATCAGAATCAGAAGAGCTTTATTACCAAGTATGTTTACACACACAAGGAATTTGACTTGACGACAGGAGCTTCCAGTGTAGAAGAAAGTACAAACATAGTGCAGACATACATGATAGTGTAGACATACATAGGAACATAGGAATAACACAGTAGGGATGTAATATAAAACTAATATAATAAGAAAAAAAGAAAGATTGAATAATGTACTATATACAGAAATAGAAGTATAGGAAAAATGTAATTGTTTAGATAAATGTAAAGATATGTTTATTAGTGTACAGATAGATATGTTATTTACAAAGTGTGCAGTTTAATATAAATATACTATGTTAGTTGTGATGGATGATGTATAATTATGAAAGCTTAATTGTTAAGACTGAGTATAGCCTGTGGGAAAAAACTGTTCTTGTGCCTTGCTGTTCTAGTGGTCAGTGCTCTGTAGCGCCGACCAGAAGGCAACAGTTCGAAGAGAGAGTGGGCTGGGTGTGAGGGGTCCAAGGTGATTTTTTTAGCCCTTTTCCTCACTCTGGAGATGTAAAGATCTTGGAGGCTGGGCAGAGGGGCACCAATAATCCTCTCAGCAGTCCTGACTGTCCGTTGTAGTCTCCTGATGTCTGATTTGGTAGCTGAACCAAACCAGACAGTTATGGATGAACACAGGACAGACTCAATGATAGCAGAGTAGAACTGTTT